CACACACACACACACACACACACACACACATCCCAGCCGCCGAAGCTTGTGTTGTAAAAGGAGTGTCCAGCTGAGTAAAGTAGGTGACTCCCAACTCAGGGAGGTCAAAAGCAAAGGCCTCCCTCTCAGACCAGAAAGGCTGCTCTGTAGTCTGCCCCTCCCTTCTCTTCTTTTTTGGGGTCTCCAGCACTTAGAGGTATGTGATCTGGGGGAGCAGATCCTATTTTTCCATTTATATTGTGCAGAGCTGGTGGGGCCCTGTGTTCATTTCCTGTTGCCGTTGGGACGAAATATCATCACACGCCGAATGGCCTCGAACAACATACATTAGTTACCTCACAGTTCCGTAGGTCTGAGGTCCACAGTGGGTCCCACTGGGCTAACATCAAGGCACTGGCAGGGCCGAGTTCCCGTATGCAGGTTCTGGGTAGAATTTGCTTAGTCGCCTTTTCCAGTTTCTAGAGGCCACGCCACACCTTGGCTCATGGCCCCTCCCCAGTCCTCAGAGCCATCAGTGCTGCACCTTTCTCGTCTTTCCTCCGCAGCCACACACAACCCACCCCCGACTCTTCTTCTGCTTCACCTGTAATTATGCGGGGGCCCACCCCAGTAACCACAGATAACCCCCTATTTGTAGTTCCGCTGCTTTGCAACCCAAATCCCACCACCTGCAACCTTAACTCCTTGACATATGCACAGGTCCCCAGGATTAGGACACAGACATTTTGGCGAGCCACTATCCTGCCAGCCGCAGGGTGCAGGCCCTTCTCTAAGGAAGGAGGACCTGAGCCTGGGCGAGAGGCCTCTCAAGCAGTTACACTGCAGCCAGATTTACGTTGACATGAGCAGATGCAGAACTGATGTCTTGGGTAAGTCGTCAGGGCAGTGGCTTCAGTCTCTGAGGGCCCTGGGTGCACATAGCAGCTCTGCCCTAAGCCGTGTGAACTTGGACCAGTGTCCTGACTTCTTGGAGCCTCAGTTTCCTCATCTGTGCAGTGGGGATGGTAATGTGATAAGATTATATAAAACAGCGCAAGTAAAATGGTTAGCGCCTTGGATGCCTTAGTGAGGATAGCTGCATTCTTTACTTATCAGTGCAGAGCCCAGTGTGGAGCTCAGACTCGCGAACCTGAGATCATGACCTGAACCAAAACCAGGAATCAGACGTTCAATCGACTGAGCCACCCACATGCCCTTTCTTTCTTTTTTCTTAATGTTTGTTTATTTTTGAGGAAGAGAGCGAGTGAGTGGGGTAGGGCCGGCAGAGAGAGGGGAGACAGAGGATCCAGCGCAGGCTCCGTGCTGCCAGCAGGGAGCCCGACACGGGGCTCACCCTCACACGCAGTGAGGTCATGACCTGAGCTGAAGTCTGACGGGTAACTGGCTGAGCACCCCAGGCGCCCCGAAGTGGGTTTCTTGGGCTCTTCTTAGCAGGTAGCAGGCGGCTAACAGGGGTCGTTGGGTTCCATGATCAAATGGCAACTTTCTTGCCTCTCGCTGAGCGTGGATGAGCAGTGGCTGAACCCGTCACTCTACTCTGACCCCCCAGCCTGTCCATCTACCCAGCTAACAGCAGTCCCCACTCTCGTTTCCAGGTTGGTGGTTCGTCAGCACCGCAGAAGAGCAAGGCTGGGTCCCTGCAACCTGCCTGGAAGGGCAGGACGGTGTGCAAGACGAGTTCTCCCTGCAGCCTGAAGAAGGTAGGAGGGAGCTGCGGCCCCGCACCCGCCTGGGCTGCGGCTACCAGGAAGCCCGCCCTTTCTCAGGGCCCTTTGGGAGCCGACCCGGGCGGGCCTGGCCAGACCTGGGAACCTCCCGCTGCCACGGGACTCCCTCCCAGGAGGGCCCCAGCCCAGTGACCCCAGCACCTCACTGTTCCTCCCTCGACCCGTTCTGATGACCGAGATGCTGGGTGCCTCCCTGCTCATTTGCGGGATGTCTGAAAGTATCTAGAAACGTGTGCCTTCTCAGTGACCAGTCTGGGCATCAGCATTCGGACTGACCCTCTCCACTTCCTGTGCACTTCCGTGTCCTGAAGAACTTACCCTACAGGTGTCCTGAAGGGTGGTCCCTACAGTGCCAGATTGCTAATGCCCAGCTGTCTCAGTTTACCCCACTAGAAGCGCTCCTGAGCCTGGAGCATGAGTCCACCGTAGCTAATAAATACAATAGAGTCAGACAGACGTGAACGCGAGTTAGCTGCACCCCTTACGGGCTGAGGTGGGCCAGCGGCCTACCCTCTCTCCACCTCACTGCCGCCTCTAAACACGGAAACGGTCATGTCTGTATCCTGAGGGGTTTTTTTCTTAATTAAATGAGATTCCACATGCAAAGCATTCGGCAGAGAACCGGAAACAGTAAATAGGGAAGAACAGTTACTATGTAGCTGTGTCTTACCCAGGGGTGAATATTTGGGGCTTTCAGTGGGCTGTTTTGAGGAAAGCACAAAACCACGTTTTGTATTTATCAGAAAAGAGGGTGAGAAGAAGTGGGGTAGTTCTGTGCTGGAAGGTTAACCAAAAATGTGTATATGGGGTTGCATTTAGTTTTGTTATAGCCAGCACCCCTCAGCGAAAACATCTGTCAGTTTCTTCTGTGTTCTGTGCGGCCCCCAGGCACTGAGGGGCTGGGCCAACGCAGAGAGTCCACTCAGATTCGGAGGTCGTGGGACTCAGTTCGTGGGAACTGTAGCTCCCTTAGGCAACTAATGATGACCATTGTGGGCACCCTCCTGTAAGCGACTGATTATTAACCCCATTTTACAGACGGGGAGACAGGCTCAGAAAGGTAGAGACGTTTGCCTGGGGTCACACAGCCAGAAGATGGAGAGGTACCACATTTTCCTTCTCCCTGACGCAAGGGCTGTCTTTTAGTGCCTCTTTATAAATCACGCTAGGAATAGAATTCTATCTACTGGTGGCCCCTGCACCCGAGTTCAAGGTTAATACTCGGGAACTTGGTCCTTTTAAGATACCTGAGGCTTGGCATGGGCTCAGAAATCATTCCTCCTCCATGGGAACACGCGCTCGGAGTCTCTTTCACCTCCAGACGCTGGCAGTGCTTTCTTCTCACCTCTGCCTTCTACCCTTCGCCTCTACATGCTGCCTGTCCAGTCTCGTGGAGGTACTGGTCTCTGCCCCGGCCCGCGGGCCGCCGCCGGACTCTGGGGGACTTGTATGCCATCAGCTGGCGTCAAGGTGCCTACCTCCCTGTTCAGTGTTTGGAGCCGGGTCCCTGCATCTGCATGCGCCTTCCTGCTCGGGGACTGCCCGCGCCTGCTGCATGTGAGAGACAGTGACCTTGCCTGTACCGCGTGTGTGTCAGCATGTAGGTTCGGGCGGTATTTCTCGGCCTGGGGCTCTGAAGTTTCCCAGGTTGAAAAATAATGCCTGGGGCCTCTATCACGCTGAGCCAGCGACCTGTTTCTTTGGTCAGCCACATCAGAAGGGAAAGAAACCCACCTCAAACTGTCATGGGCCAAAAGGGAAGTGTATCAGCTCGTCACTGAAAAGTCTGGGGGAAAGACTAGCTTCCAGCATGGCTGGATCCCGGGGATTGAAACACTGTCGGGACCTAGGACTTACTCTCCTCCCTCCACTCTGCTCTCCACCTTGCTGACACCATCTTCTGGGACCGCAGTTCCAGGCACCTTTCAGAGATACCTGCCGAAGAGAGTGCTTCTCCTTCAACACACGTCTTAAGACTGGTTCTGACCGGCCCGCTTGGGCCACACGCTATCCCTGAACCAGTCACAGTGGCCAGGGAAGTACAGCACTTCGGCCACGCCGGTTCCTGCACCACCCCCCCTCCAGGCAGTGGTGAGGTCGGCCTTGCCCAAACCACGTGGACGGAGGCCAGTAGGGGCAGCGAAGGAAGGGCAGATGGGTGCTGGGCATGCAGTGGCGGCAGGCGTCCGCCATACGATCTGCCAGGCCTCCCGCCTTAAGGTTCGTCTGGAGTCACTGAGTGTGTCATGAGCGCAGAGAGCGCCGCCAGGTGCCAGAGAATCTCCCCGTGGGATTCAGCTGAAAGGCGGGCCCCCAGGAGTCCAGGGCCCACAGGATTGACTGCATATAGTCTAGGCCCAAGGCCTCACCCCTTCTCACCCAACCAAATGGAACTTCCATGCATCTACAGGCCCTGGACTTCTGGGGGCCCACCCTTCAGCTGAATTGCCCCCGTACTCCCTCACAGCACCCGCACCCACCCTGCGGCTCCCGTGAGTGAGGGGAACAGCTTACTCCGCTGTCCACAGCATATCTGCAACTTGAGTCAGCTCAGCCCCCACAGAGCAGGTCAGTGGGCTAGATCAATAAATAAACAAACTCCCTGTGTGTCGTCCACCTCCCTCGACACCAGCTGGGCAGGCCACAGACAGCCCGTGGGGTTTCCCTGAAGAGAGAGAGTCGGCCCCAACATGCTGGCCATCAGCACCAGCCTGCAGCTGGCTCGGTCACTCCCCAGGGGCCGGATGTAAGCAAAACAGGAAAGCCCTTTCCTGTCCTCGCCAGGGTCCCCTGGGACACTCATCTGTTCTGTCTCAGCAGTCCCTGCTGGCAGTGTTGAGCACGGGAGCTATTCCGTTGTTCTCCGGAGGACCCTGCCAGCATGTGACAGTGAGCCATCGTCCCAAGCAGAGCCTGAACAATGGTCCGTGGCTTTGAGGGGACAGAGTGAGGCACCACTGAGAGTGAGTTGGAAGGCACCCCAGTTACATTAAAGAAAGTTGAAGCAGGCAGTGATTTTACTGTGTGTGTATGTGTGCGCATGCACGTGCACGTGTGCATAAAAGTTTTATGTGATACACTTTAATACAGTGTTAAGTGTCACTTACCTCTCAATTTTAAAAACAAAATATTAAAAATAAAATTGAAGCTTCAGGCATGGTTGGATCCAGGGGCTTGAAAATAACTAATGAAAAATAAAGATCAGTTACCAGCTAAGTAATGAAAATTGCTTTTAAAAATTAAAGAAGGAAAGAAAATTGCAGGCTGTAGCCTCCTTGGTAGTGATTTGAGCCTGAAAGCCACCTGCTGCTGAACCCAGCTTATCCCCGAACCCTCTACCAGTGAGAACTATGGAGGAGCCACAGATGATTTAACCCCCTCTGGCATGAGCTAGGTGGCTCCCACCAGGCCTCTGGGACTTGTTCCTTTATGAAACGTTGACTAATTTACGGAACAGTTACACAGTATTCCCAGTGCTAGAGACAGAGGAATAAGTGACACAGACACAAATCCCTACCTCACGGCATTTATATTTGGTGGTGAACACAGACACAGAATACAATCAGCAAGGAAAGTATATGGTGTGTTAGAAGGTAATTTCTGGTATGGGAAAAAAACATAAACCTGGGTAAGGGGGACATGGACGCCATGACCTTGTGTGAAGCAAGGTCAAGGAAAGTGACCTTGACGCACAGCTTTGAGGAAGACGAGGATGAATGTGTGGCGCTGAGGGACTCCAGAGGGACAGAGGGATTGGGACCTGACTTTTGTCCTGTGTCCTGTTGCTGCTTGCACAGGGTCATCCAGGCCTAATGAGGGCCTCGGGTGGGGGGGGGGTCCCCAGAAATTTCTGGAAGGGATATTTCCTTCCAGTGGGCAAGGGCATCTCATGGATCACAGCCTTGGCCATCAGTATCCCGGGATTCTCACTGTCTTTGACTTTACCCAGCATCCCTTTGTCCCCGCAGAGGAGAAGTACACAGTCATCTACCCGTACACAGCTCGCGACCAGGATGAAATGAATCTAGAGAGAGGGGCCATGGTGGAGGTGATCCAGAAGAACCTGGAAGGCTGGTGGAAAATCAGGTACCTGCTGCACCTGCGTGGGCTTCAGGTCACATGGTCTCTGGCTGCTCAGAGGTCCATGCGTGATCGCAGATGGATGGGGTGAGGTTTGGGCCTGAGCCAGAAAAGGACTGCTTTTCCTTGGTGCTGTTCGGACTCCGTCTCTATCCAGATCCTTCTCTAAATATCCTTAATAAACAAACCTCCAAACACCCCAAACCACAGATAGCAGTAACTTCATTGAGGAAGACTGCTTTCCACCTCCATGTGTTTCTCGTAAGGGGAAGCTGCACTGCTGTGTGCGGGTGATTTCCAGCTCCAGCGCTGCTCTAACACCAGCAGGATGCATAACACCACAGGGGCCGTAACTCATCCTAGAGCCGATAGTTGCTCTTATCTCGGAGGTCAGTGGTAAAAGTAGGAAGCCGGCTTTCAAACTCTTTTTTTTATGTTTTTATTTACTTCTGAGAGAGGGAGATACAGAATCTGAAACAGGCTCCAGGCTCTGAGCTAGCTGTCAGCACAGAGCCTGACGCAGGGCTCGAACCCACGAACCGTGAGATCATGACCTGAGCCAAAGTTGGACACTTAACCGACTGAGCCACCCAGGCGCCCCCAAACTCTTTATCACAGCTCTTTTGCCTATGGGATGCAATCTGAACCCCATCCGTACGAGGGGCGGCCACCTCCTCCTGGCCTGCCTGCCACTTCCCAGTTTTAGGCCTGGGAACCCCTCCTTGGCTACCCTAGTTGGGAGGCTGTGGCGCCAAGGCATTAGGGCAAGAAAAGAATCCTTGGGGCCTGGTGTCTACACAGCAGCGTGATCCAGGGTATTAGGGCCATTCATCAGGGTCCCGCCTGTGGCATTTCATTCATTCACTCAGCAAACACACCAAGAATCTGCACTGGGCCAAGCCCTGTTCTGGGAGTCAGGGAGTCAACAGCGAGAAAGACAGGGAGGTTCACACCAGCAGGCACAGAAGACAGTCTCAGTTCCCGGGCGTGAGGACGCTGGAGCACAGACGAGGGGTTCCTGAGCTCGGGGCAGGAGGGCTCCTTGAGGGTCTAAGGAACCGAGGTTTGAAGCAGGAGTAGTGACAGCGACCCCTAACATATCCTGAGTATATAAGGTGTCAGCTACATTACCAGTTATCCCAAAACTTTGTGGCTCTGGCATTCAAGGAGTGGCTTCTTTGGGTCCCTCTGGAGGTTGTGGTACAATGTCCATGGGGCGCATACCATCATCTGAAGGCTCGGCTGAGGCTGGAGAGTGACAAAGCCAGGATTGAAAACTGTGCCTTTCTCACCCCAGAGCTACCCACCTCTGCGTGTGCTGCTCTGCTGTGGCTTTGGGACTCTAGACCATTGTCTCGTCCTGAGGGCCTGATTCTAGGTAGCATGACATTGTCCCATGAGGACAAGAGTTGCTTCCTCTCAGAGGGCATTTTAAGACTGAAAGGCATCAAATTCTGCAGATTTCTATCTCCTATAAATTGGCTCCCAATTATAAAGGACCTTTCTCGTCACTGAAACACAGTGCTATTTAGTTCTTAAAGTGATTCTTGACAAGAGATTTGGCCTTGCTGTGTATCATCTCCAGCCATTCCGGTCTCTTCCACTCTCCCCCAAGGTGTGGGCATGCGTTTTGTGGGCCAGACCAGCAGAGCGCTTGCAAATAGTTGACATCCAGGTCTCCCAGGGAAAACTGCCCTGGAGTGGTGCTGTTTGCCAATTTCCATAGTGTGAGTACTCCCACCGGCTGATGCCAGCCTCCCGGGCAGTATTACTGAATGTGGAGTTCGGAAGAGACGTACACAGCCAGCTGTCCCAACTTAGCGCCAGCAGGCTCTGCCACCCCTGCGATCCAGATCGACCCCTCTGGTCATGCTGCGAAAACTGAGCTCCGCTGTGCAGAGAATTAAGTGATCACATTCATTGACTCCCCGTGGAATTCAGTGAGCTGTCTGTCAGGGTGTCAGTCACTCTGTAGTTCAGTGACCACCAGCTGACCCTTAGCAAGCCCCTGACCGGCTTGGTTCCCATCTGAATGTGTGGTTGGGTTTTTTGTTTGTTTGTTTTTTAAAGAGATAGTGTGAGTAGGGGAAGGGCAGCAACAGAGATCGTCTCAAGCAGCTCCGTGCTGCCAGCACAGAGCCCGGCGCGGGGCTCGAACTCACGATCCCATGAGATCATGACCTGAGCCGAAACCCAGAGTCAGCCACTTAACCGACCGAGCCCCCCAGGCACTCCCTGAATGCATATTCAATCTACATGGTAGCCATTGTGACTGGAGCCACGCCCTGCCTGTGCCCGGCTTTGTGCCAGGAGCTGGGGCTGTGGGAAAGAGGCAGCAGAGCAGGTTAGGAACAGAGACTGGACTGGTGCCGACTGCCTAGGTCTGAATCCACTTCTGCCACCTCCCAAGGTCGGACGGGTGAACTACATCAGCAGCTGTAAAGTGGTTAGAACAGACCGACACACAGTAGGCGCCCACTACGTGCCAGCTATCATTATCATTATTGTCATCACTGCAACGACGGACGGGGCAGTGAGTGTAGCAGAGCTCTGTGGCTGCTCGCCTTGGCCAGGCCCGTGGGCAGTTTGTGCACTTGGCCTTTTATTTCTTCACCCAACTCCCTGGCACATCAGTCACGTGCAGGCTACCCCAGGAGGTCGTGTTCTGGCTGGGGAGACAGAATCGCTGTAGCCCAGTGTCCCCGTGTGCCGCAGGTGCTAGGGTGGTGGTGTGTGCGGGAGACAGTGGAGTGCCACGGAGGGAGGCTTCATTCTCTGTGAGGCTCAGGAAAGGTTTGAGAAAGGAAATGACATTAAGCAGAGCTGGGGAAAAAAGAGCAGGAAGGACAGTGGCAAGGGGCTTTCCCGGCACAGGGTTTCCAAGAGCAGAGGCCGGGGGAGTGAAAGATGGTGGTGCACTTGGGAGACTGCAAAGCTTGTGGGGTGGGAAGGGCGTGGGGTTGCTGCTAAGAGACGAGGCCGTGGAGACAGGCAGAGGGCGGGTTGGAAAGGCCTTGAGCACCGAGCTGAGTCAGCAAGGGGTGTACCGGCCTCTGGCCCCTCGTTTCTGCCACCTGGGACTTGGAGTGCGACGCACAGTAGGAACACAGCTTCTCCCCGTGGGCTTGGCAGAGCAGCCTGTCCAGCTTGCATCCTCTTCCCAGGTACCAGGGCAAAGAGGGCTGGGCCCCGGCCTCCTACCTCAAGAAGAGCAGCGGGGAGCCCTCACCCCCGAAGCCAGGCCCCGGCTCATCCGCCCACACCGGCGGCCTCGACCTGGATGGAGTTTCCCGGCAGCAGAGCATGGTGGGCAGGGAGAGAGAGCTACTCAACAGCCAGAGGGACGGCCGGTTTGAAGGCCGCCCAGGGCCCGACGGCGACATCAAGCAGCGTGAGTGATGCCCCACCAAGCTAAGGGGCTGAGGACCTATTATGTGCCAGGCTCCACGCTCAGAGCTCCTCACGTGTTGTCCCTCATCCTCACAACAGCCCTGTTGCCTCACATCCTGTAGATAGGAAAACAGACCCAGAACCCAATAGCTTGTTCCAGACGGTGGTTTTTCCTCCATCTTGTGTGGATCATGATAGCTTCTATTTCCCAAGACCTACTATGTGCCAGGAATCTTATAGTTAGTCTCATTGGCTCCTTGTAACAACTTTAGAGGGACTAAATTACTTCTGTTTTATAGATTAGGAACCAGAGACATGAGGTGATTTGTCCAAGGCTGCCCAGCTCACGAATGGTAGGGCCGGGACTTGAACCCAGGTCCGCCTGACCCCAACACCTGTGATCTCTCTGCATGGCTTCATTTCTGAGCCAGAAGAAGTTGACCTTGTGCTGAGTTCACTGGAACAGTTCTTTATGCATCTTACGTTCCAAAGCCTCCTGTACATATGCTCCCATGTAACGTTCCCAACACGCCCAAAAGTAGGGGTTCCTTATTGTCTGCAGCGAGCGCAGGACCCCCCGCCTCCAGGCACGTGTCCCTGCCCCGGTTGTGCAGGGCAGGAGGAAGCCATCTGCTGGGAAAGTCCCCTGGCCCAGCTATACTTCTCCAGCTGTTTATAGCAGCTCAGCAACTTATAAAAGTCAGTGAATTCTTGAAACTCAAGAATTTCTCCATTCTCTGCTCAGCTGATTTCTCAGAAGAAAAAAACACTGACTTGCCTCGGTGGGGGTTCTGGCCAGCCCCTGGTGTCTGTGATTCTTATCTGTCATGGCCAAGAGCACAGGGTTCCTATTAACGCTGAGCAAATAAGAATCAGAACCCCCATGTCTTTGTTAGGAGATGGGTTCCAGTACTCAAGCAGAGACTCTCCCTACCCCTGGCGCGCGCGCGCGCGCACACACACACACACACACCCAGTAACAGGGGCTTGGATAATTTAGATGTCCGTGTCTTTCTCACAAAGCTCCCAGCTCTGTGTCCAGGGCTGCCGTGGCAGCTCCATGCTTTCAAGGGTCTCATTACACAGTATCTGTGTTGCCCTGATCTGTCTGGTCCAAGATGGTGCCCCGCTAGTCCAGCCAGTGAAGAAGGCAGGGGGGAGTGGAGGACTTGACTCAGAAGCTATACACTCTCCACTCCGCCACGCCCCACTGGCCAGAACTTAGTCATGTGCCAATACCTAGCTGCAAGGGAGTCTGAGAAGTACAATCTTTATAAAAGCAGCCAATGGCTGGCCAAAACTCTGTTGCTAACTAATTCTAACAGAAGACAGGGGAGATGGGGATTTAAGAGATGAGCAACCCTCTCCACATCCCAGCTTCCAGACTTAACCCTCCGCGTGGCCCTGTGCTGAGCCCCCTCGGGAGATGCCACGTTTTCCGCCTTGAGCCAGGAGCCTGGACCATTGCACAGTCATCCTCCTGACCCTGAGGCCCAGAGTGAAGGCAGCCACGTTCCAGAGTAGAATCCCCTGATGTCGTCAGCCCACATTTGTTTGGTTCTGTTTATGTATGGCTTAACGTTGCACACCCACCAGCTGCCCCCAGACTCGTTCCTGCTCTTTCCTTACCTCCCAGCTGTGGCCCCTGGGTGGCAGGCAGGCATCACCACCCCCGCGTTCCACCGAAGCCTACATCGTGGGGCCTCCCTGGAGAGCCTCACGCTGCTCTGGCAGCACACAGGCGGTCCTCACAGTCCAGAGCCAAGTCTCCGCGGCCCCAGATCTTTCCTGGTGTCCCCTGAGGACTTCCATCTGTAGAATTCTGCGTGTGTGTCCAATAAGCTCTGTCTCTTTACAGGATCGCCCAAGATGAGGCAGAGACCCCCTCCTCGCCGAGATATGACCATTGTAAGTAGACCCTTGCTGCTGGGAAGCCAGGCCTTGGCCCGAAACTGGCCCCTCACCCCCACCATGCCCTTTCCAGAGATGCTCTCTTTCCTCTCCACAGCTGCCAGGGCAAGTGTTGGTCCAGTCCGAGGGGGAAAGGCTAGGGTATTGGGGAGCGACGCAAGTTACCTGTGTCTCTGTGATGGTCAGGCCTCAGGTCAGGTCTCTGTGCTTCCTGAGCCCACTTTGCTTTATCGTAGATCTGTCTCCTCAAAGAAGGCAGCTCAAAACCAAAACCCAGATGAGGCATAAATATTGTTTGTGGTGCCGTTCTGGTATTTTACTCTCAAACCCTGTTTTTAATTCTTTAGAGACCTTTTCTAACTAATACTACAAAAACTGAGCCTTCTACCGTGTATTGAGCACCAGTTGGGTGCCCTGCAATGTGCTGGGTGCTGCATTACATGGACCTATTGAATGCGTACAGTGACCCCACCGGGTAGAGTCCCCATTCTACAGGAGATGAAACTGAGGCTCCAGGAGGGAAGTGATTTGCCCAAAGGTGCACAGCACACATAAGCAGTATTTCCAACCCACATGGGTCTGACCTGCAAACCTGTGTTCTTTCCATACCCTCGCTGCCTCTTGAATTCAGAGACGATTGTCCTGCCCCAGATTTTCATGATTGTAGGTACACACCCCATGTTTCTGCTCCTCACTCTGAAGCTGATGGGCCAGTGACCCATCTAGGAGACCATCTGCACGGTGCACGGTCCTCTGTGACTTGTCCCTTAGAATCCAAACGGGTCCACCAGCGCCCCTTGAGGATGATTCTGTGCCCCAGGGCCTTAGCCCCTCCCCGCTTCAGCCAATGATAATGGACTTCATGTGGATTTCGCACTGTGTTTCATTGTGGCAGCCTCGAGGTCTTAACCTGCCCAAGCCTCCCGTTCCACCCCAAGTGGAGGAAGAGTATTACACCATTGCTGAGTTCCAGACAACCATCCCTGACGGCATCAGCTTCCAGGCGGGTCTGAAGGTCGAGGTGAGTGCGCCTGGTGTCCCTCTGCCTGCTTGTCATTCTTGAACCATGGCACCACCCCCTGCCTCTCTCATTTCTCTCCTTTCCCTCCCTCCCTCCCTCCTCCTTCCTCCCCTCTTCTCTTCCTTCCTTCTCTCCTTTCTTTATGGCAGCTTTACTGAGCTATAATTCACACCATCCAAATCACTGACTTAAAGTATACAATCTGGTGTTTTCTGGTATATTTACCGAATTGTGCAACCACATTCAGTGTTAGAATATTCTCATCACCCAAAAAAGAAACCTTGTATACATTAGCTGTCACTTCCTGTCTCCCCTCCACCCCTCTCAGTCCCCCTGACCCCAGCCCTAGGCAGCCACTAATCTGCGTTCTGTCTCTATCGCTGTGCCTGTTTGGACATTTCATATAAGCAGAATCATACATTATGTGACCTTTTGTGACTGCCTTGTATTCTGTTTTTATCACCACCTACTTCCCTTCTTGCTTCTCTCTCTCTTCGTCCTGCTCCCTTGCTTGTCTGCTCTGTTCCTGCACAAAGACCAGCAACAGTCCTTTCTCCCCTTCCATTTTTTCTTTCCTCGTGGAGTTAGAGCTTGGGGCTATTGCCCATATTTCCCGGAGGGCCTGTAAGTAATGGTGTAGCAGTCGGGTGCCAGGCACTGAAGTACGCACTTCACATACAGTGTCTCTCTTAATCACTTACTCTTGTGAGGCAGGACCATCAACAGTCCCCATTTTTCAGATGAGGAAGCTTTGGCTCGGGACGAGGGGTGAGGGGGAGGTGCTGTCCAAAGTCACCCAGCTAACACATGGCAGAGGCAGGATTTGAACCCATGTGTGACTCCAGATTTGACCCGGGGCCGTTAACATCCTGTTGTTATTCATCTGCCGGGCATTTGGGAACTTCAGGAGGGCAGGCGCCACATCTGGTTTTCACTCCCGTGTCCTTGCAGCTAGCCCAGCACTTGGCACGTGGTAGGTCCGCAAGAAATACCGACTCAGTGAAGAGCTGCCTGCTTACCAGCATCCTGCGAAACACTCAGAAGGCCAGGGAGTGTCTTCTTCATTCTTGCCCACAGCCCTGGCATCGGGGCTGGTCCAGAGGAGGTGCTTTAGGAAGGAACGTTTGGACGATTGAAGGAAATTAGGTGGGGGTGGATGACTGTCGAACCAGCACACAGGTGTGGCGTGGCCTGAGGTCTTTAAGCACTCTCCGAGAGAGCCACAAAGCGCTGCTGTTCTCCTTCCCTCTCCGACACTTCCTGCCCCTCTCTCTCTTTGCCCTCATAACCTGGGGCAGCTGCCCAGGCCACTCAGCAGAAGGTAGCTCCCTGAAGGTGCATCCTGGGCCTCCCCACCACCCATTCTGCCCAGGCATCTCCAGAAAGCCGTCCTCCAGCCAAGTGTCTTTCAGCCCATTGAAAAGGAGGGCTGTCTGCAGGGAGCTGATGCCTCTCGAACTAATTCTTATAAAATGCAAATCCCACTCTACATAGATGGACCAAGGTGAAAGTAGAAATACCCAGTGTTCTGAAAAGGCTTCTTAGCTGTTCCTCCTGCCTTTTTTTTTTTTTCTTTTGGCCTTTCTGGCCTTTCCAACTTCAAATTTACCAAGAGAACTCACAAGGCATCTTGCTTTGTACTGGAATATCGTTCTACGCCCAGTTCCCCATTTTGCTCCTATAAAACATATACATTTGATTCAGCATGAAACCTGTGCCTTCTTCCTAACATCTTCTCACATCCCAGGTGGTTTCTCTGTCCATAACCTGTTTCCGCTACTTTTCTGCCAATGCTGCTGGTCAAGCCGGCCCTTCTCCAGCTCCCTTACCCTCTCTGCCAGGAACGACCTTGCTTTAACCCAGCTCCTAGCACCCCACCCGCCATCTCCTAGACAGCACTCAAAGCTGTGGAGCACCTGGGTGGCCCAGTCGGTTAAACGTCTGATTTTGGCTCAGGTCATGATCTCCCAGTTAAGGAGTTCAAGCCCCACATCAGGCTCCGTGCTGACCGTGCGGAGCCTGCTTGGGATTTTCTCTTTCTCCCTCTCTTTCTCTACTTCTCCCCCACCTCATGCTCTCTCTCACCCTCTCTCAAAATAAATAAGGAAACTTTAAAAAAAAAAAAAAGGTACTGAAGGCCATTTTTTGAACTGCACTTGGCATCTCAAAATCAAACTCATTCTTTAAATCCCTGCTTCCTCTAGGAAGCCTCCCCTGATTCACACTGGTTTCCCTGCCCCGTCCTGTATGACTTCTCTGCCGCTGTACATCTCAGTCTTCAGCTGAGAGCCAGTCCCTCCCTTCTGTACAGGCTTTCTCGACATCATGAGAAGTGGGTGTTGTTCCCCCCTTTCGGTGACTGGGTTTTGTATTCCAAGCTGAAAGTTCTCTTCCTTTGGCGCTTTGCATAGATCGCTCTGTTCTCTTCGCACATCTAGCACCGCTGGTCAGAAGCTACTACCTCCCTGATTCTTGCTCCCTTGTTCGTAATCCATCATTTCTTGATTCTCACAGGGGGGCTCCTCATTATCTTTAAAATGCTCAGATCTCGCTCACGTGTGACTGAGTGTGACTTTCTTTATTTTTATTCTGCTTAGCACGTGGCGGCCCTGTCTGATCTCAGCCTCGAGATCTTCCTAGAGAATTCCCCACTTATATACTTGTGTTAAATAGTGTCTCCGTTCATCCTCTATTCTTTCCTCCCGGGGCAGTTATGAAGGCCTTCTGCCTCCGTTCCCCACGTCTCCTGACTTTTCTGTCACGTTTTCCATCTTCGTCCCTCAGTGCTGCATTCCTGGAGCATCGTGCCTCATCTTCTAGCTCATTCGTTTGCTCTTTAACAGTTCAGTCCATTACTGGTTTTGTTTCCACGGTTGTTCTCACTTCCGAGAGCGCCGTAATGATTCTTTTTCCCAGGCGCCTGTTCTTGTTTCAGCAGAGCGTGTTCTTTTTGTTTGATGCCCTTCCGTAATGCTCTCAGGATGGAAAATCGGTTGAATTTCAGGTCCTACTGTTATAGTCCGTTATCTCGTTTGTCAGCTGTGTACCCTTTGCAGGGCTCTTGGTTTGCTCCCGTTCTTCTCATGCTGTTAGGACTCACCTTGGGCTGTGCAAGAAGAGGCAGCAGACAGTCAGACAGGCCAGAGGGGGCTTGGACACAAGGTGCTGGTCACCTCCCACCGGTTCCAGCGCTAGGCTAGGGACTTCTGAGCCAGCCACTGAACAGTGTTGGGGCTCTTTCCCAAGCTCTCCCATTCCCTGTTTGCGCTTGTGAGCAATCGCCTTCTTTACTCTGCCTGCCCTGAAAGGATGGCCGAAGGGGTGTGAGGGATCAACCACCTGGCTGCCTCTGCCATGGTATCTCAGTTAATCTCCTGGTGCTTGTTCCTGGGCTCCCTGATTCCAGGTTCCCCCACCTTGAAGTCCCAGGGTCCGCTCCACCTTCGGTAGCAGCCACCCCTGCAGCAGCTCCGGGCCACAGCCTCCCTGCACTGCCCTGTCCATCTGTGAGTCCTCACAATTCCTGCTCCACTAACTTCACCCCGTTCCTCCTTCAGAGCTTGGCTTTGTATTCGTTTATTTCCCTGGCTTCTCCACATACAGGGGAAGCTGCTATTCGCTCCCATCTCGAAAACAGAAATCCAACTTGCGTAGTTTAAAGGTCTGGTTTTCTTTTCCTCAGAGAGCTGGAAGACACAATAAAACCACCTGCCCCTTTAAGACCAGGAGTTTCCACACGCACCATTGTTCAAGCATGCTGGCAAACTGAACATTTGCCGATAGGCAGCACCACTCCCTGGCTCAGAATGTTCTGAAATCAGCCCAGGGCAGCTGGGGATGTTGCGGGCAATGCAGCTGAGGGCTGAGTCTGCGGGCAGCAGGGAGTTCATGGGGCCCTGGGGTTTCCTGGGGCTGTCGGGGTGCCTCCCGCCAGTCTCCACCCCCCACTTCAACTAGAACCAGTCCCCTTTCTTATTTCTGGCCTTTGTCCTGTCTCTCTGTGCTAAAGCTGATCCATTTAAAAGCTCACATACCCAGGGCGCCTGGGTGGCTCAATGGGTTAAGCGTCCAACTTCAGCTCAGGTCACGATCTCACGGTTTGTGGGTTCGAGCCCCCCATCACGGCCTGGAGCCTGCTTCGGATTCTGTGTCTCCCTCTCTCTCTGCCCCTCCCCTGCTCATGCTGTCTCTCTCTCTCTCTCAGTAATAAATAAATGTTTAAAAAAAAAAAAAAAGCTCACATACTCAACATTGTTTTCCAGAAAACACAGACATAACCCAGCCTTGAAACTTCCCTGCTCATATATGGTTCTACCAGTGGTTGCCTGGGGGACCCTAGGGGGGAGTGGTTGCCACCAAAGTTCTGGGCTTCCCCAAGTATTCTCATCTCATCTTAGCCTCCGGATTTCATCAAAAGAGCCACAGTGTTTAAGCTGTGGACCTACCAGGGTTGCCTTACTTGCCTGCCTGGACTGTGTACATTCGAAACATGTGCTGATGCTGCTGCTCTCGGCACCTCTCCATGCCGGGCACATTACGCGCTTGGTACCAGTCTTCACAGAAGTCCCAAGAGGTCAATATCTTCAGCCCATTTTGCAGATGCACCTGGGACAAAGAGAGGTTCAGTCCATTGCCCAAGGTTATATTGCTAGTAACTGGAGCTGGAATTTGAACACAGGCCTCTCTGGGTTTAAAGCCCAGGCTTTTTTCCTTCCGCTCCATTCTTGTGATCTGGCATTTGTTTTTATTCATAACAGCTCTTGGCCTCTCTCTGGTAAATGAAAACTCACATAAATCGTGATCAAGAACACAAATGTTGAGCGCTTTTGCCATAGTACTTGGCATAGAGTATAAGCTTAGCAAATCTTCATTGATATATTTCGCCGTGATTTTCATCCTCTTTTCATTCTCTCACGTACACACATGGAGTTGTTGAATTCGCGGATGTGCCGACAGTGACTTGTGTGCCCAGGGTCCCCTTTAATTGTTACCAGAGCCATCGTGTGTTGGGGAGATGCCAGTCACCCTCATTTAAGGGCTTGCAGTTATCAGAACCCTTCCTGGGAGACCAGTGAGGGGCTTGTTAAACACATTTGTCACATGCATCCTGCCATGTCCGTGACCTCCACTGTAATTGAACAACAGGAAACATTTACGTTTCGGCATTTACCAAGGGCCACTATGTGCATTCGCCTCTGCAGGCATCATGAGAATCCTGTCAGGGGATCCTTGTTCTCACCATTGGCCTGCATCTTGTGCTGTGGGATCTCAGGAGGCATGTGGCTGTGCAGGGGCCACACAGGCAATAACAGGTGCAGCCACAGCCAGAACCTGCACCGCGGGCCCCGGAGCCCAGCCTCTGCCCTCTGTGTGCTGGGGCCGCAGCTGCAGGTCCTCTCCAGCGAGGCTGGGCGGATCAGTGCGGGGGCAGAAGCACACTGTGGCCCTCTCTGCCCCGGCACTTTCTCACCTCAAATACAGCTCCTCCCCAGGCCAGTTCCCCTTTCACGGGCAAAGGCTCAGGCTCTGGGACCACAGACCTGCCTTTGGCTCCCGCCTCCACCATTAACCTCCCACGTGACCCTCTGCAGGTTCCTCAGTTGTCCTGAGGCTTGGGTCTGCATCTGTAAAATGGGAGGATAATCCCCATCTCATAAAGTGGCTGCAAGCATTAATAAAAGAGGCTGTTAGGGGACTGCAGAGTGTCGGTTTGCTCAGGCTGCTGCCACAAAATGTCACAGGCCGGGTGGTTAAAACAATAGAGGTTTATTTCCTCACAGTTTTGGAGGCTGAAAGTCCAAGATCAAAGTGTTAGCAGATTCAGTCTCTCACAGGGCCTCTCGCCTTGGCTTAGAGACAGCTGCCTTCCTGACTGTGCTCACACGTGGTCTTCCCTCATTCTGTGTGTGCTCTGTGTCCTAATCTCTTAAAAGCACACCCAGTCGTGTTAGATCGGGGCCCACCCATATGACCTCATTTTAACTTCATTACCTCTTAGGAGGCTCTGTCTCCACATACAGTCACATTCTGAGATTTGGGAGTTAGGGCTTCGACACAGGAACTTGGAGGGAACACAGGTCAGCCCATAACACGCAACATACACACCTTCCAGTCAACTCAGCCATATAATACTGAAGAAAAAGGAGACAGGAAGTGTAAGGTCTTAAAGATCGTGGGTGACTCCACCCACTGTTCCATTCCATGGGTGTCTGTCCCGGAGACAGGGAGGAGGAGATGAGATGGAAGGTTCTTTTACCTTCATCAGCAGAGGCCCCCCTCTGTCTGAAGATGAGCTGAGTGTGACTCCCATGTTTAAGGATATACATTTTTCACACAGCATGGCCCTTAAACACCAGCCAACTGCTTCGTCTGGGGCTCAACCAAAAGAGCAGCGATCAAGGCTAGTTTGGGCTGTACGTGGGTTCCACCTTGTACTTCTTTAGAATTGTAGCAGACGCTGCTGGCAGCCTGCCCTGCATCCTGGCCCACCTGACGTGACCTGCAGCCGCACACAGGTCCCTGCGTGTGACAGCCTCCCATGTCCTACACCCCAAGGAGGGCACTACCCAGAAAGGCCAGGGGATTAATACGCTGTGGGGGATCTGCTGAGTGAAAAGCCCCTGCTTCCAGAATCCAGTCACATGTGGGTCCTCCCAGACTGCTCTGGTCCACTGGCCCTGAGACCGTCCCTACTAAGTGCTCTCCCCTGTCCCGCCCTCCAGGTGATCGAGAAGAACTTGAGTGGCTGGTGGTACATTCAGATCGACGATAAGGAAGGATGGGCCCCAGCCACCTTCATTGACAAGTACAAGAAGACAAGCAATGCCTCAAGGCCCAACTTCTTGGCGCCCTTGCCTGGCGAGGTGAGCCAGCTCCGCCTGGGGGACGCAGCGGCGGTGGCGGCGGAGAGCAACACGGGCAGCGAAGCCGTCGGCCCCTCCCGGCCCCTGCCCGAGGCACCACATGGTACCGTGGACTCCGGGATGCCGTGGTCCAAAGACTGGAAGGGCGGCAAGGAGGTCCTGAGGAAGGCGTCCTCTGACATGTCCTCGTGCGCGGGCTACGAGGAGATCTCCAGCCCCGACCTGGAGGAGAAGCCCAGCCTCCCTCCCCGGAAAGAATCCATCATCAAGTCGGAAGGGGAGCTGCAGGAGAGGGAGCGCCAGAGGATGGAGCAGCTCCGAGGCTCCTCGCCCAAGCCCCCGGGCATGATTTTGCCCATGATTCCAGCCAAACACACCCCCCCATCCCGGGACAGCAGGAGACCGGAACCCAAACCAGACAAAAGCAAGTTGTTCCAGCTGAAAAACGAGATGGGGCTGGAGTGTGGCCACAAAGTCCTGGCCAAGGAGGTGAAGAAGCCCAACCTCCGACCCATCTCCAGACCCAGAGCTGACCCACCAGAGGAGAAGCCAGAAGTTACTCCCCAGAATCCTTTCTTGAAGTCCAGGCCTCAGGTGAGGCCCAAACCAGCTCCCTCCCCCAGGACAGAGCCACCTCAGGGCGAGGATCAAGTGGACATCTCCAACCTCAGGAGCAAGCTGAGGCCCGCCAAGTCCCAGGAGAAAGCCCTACTGGATGGAGAGGGTGGTCACCAGGCCGCCGGGGGCCAAGACGCAGCCTTCAGCCGGGGCGCCCTCCCGGGCGATGGGCCGGGCCGCACCCAGGACAGGATGGCCAGACAGGACGGGCTCGGCCCGAAGGAGGTGTCCTGCAGAGCCCCTCCGAGGCCAGCCAAGACCTCAGACCCCGGGCCCAAGACCGCGCCCGCCCCTCTGCAAGAGGCCCCCCCTCAGAGACCCGTGGTCCTGCCCCGCAGACCACCGCCCCCCAAGAAAGCCACTTCGTCCTCCAGGCCCCTCCCAGAGGTCAGAGGACCGCAGCGGGACGCCAGCGAAGGCAAGGCAGCTCCTGGCCCAGGCCGGGCCCTGCTGGTCCCTCCTAAAGCCAAGCCTTTCCTTCCCAACTCCTCAGGTGGCCATGACGACACGCGAGGCAAAGGCAGCCCAGGGCCACGGATGGCGGGCAGGGCCGGAGAGAACAGAGAGAAAGTAGCCGCCACCCCCTTCCCCAACGCCGATGGCCCGAAGGACTCTCTGTACGTGGCTGTGGCCAATTTCGAAGGAGACGAAGACACCAGTAGCTTCCAGGAGGGGACGGTGTTCGAGGTCCGGGAAAAGAACAGCAGCGGCTGGTGGTTCTGCCAGGTCCTGAGCGGGGCCCCTTCCTGGGAGGGGTGGATTCCCTCCAACTATCTCAGAAAGAAGCCGTAGCGCCCTCCTTCCCTGCCTGGCGGCCCCGTGCATCCCTGCTGGCTCTACCCACATATTTAATATGCCTCTTAATTTATCAACCTTCATGCAGCTTCAAAGGAAGGAAGGCTCTGGAGTCCTGTGGTTTCTTCCCTCCCGTCACAGCATTCCCGGAGGCCACACACCACCCCCTGCTTTCCAAGCCAGCATCCCTGCCTTAAGGCCGGTGGCATTGCCACCCTGTGTAGGCCACCTAGCCACGGGACCCGTGACTCTCCAAGACCGGAGCCCCTTGTCTGGACACTGCAGAAACGGTCCCTCCTTGCTGGCACCCCGCCCAGCCTGTGACGGCTGGCCCCAGCTTCTCCATGTTTCTAAACTCCCAGGGACTTCATTTCCTCAGCTTCCAAAACGCCTTGTAGCGGAAAGAACTCCATCCCCTGGAAGTCGGCCCCATTGCCAATCCCAAGGAGATGTCCTCCCTCAGGCTCGGGGCCCAGGAGCCTCTCAGGTTCGACCAGAGGCAGCAGTCCCAGGAGTGGGCCTGAGGGTCCACTGAGCCATCGTGCCCTCTGCCTTTGGTCTCGGGAGCCTGATCCTGAGGGGTGGCTGCAGCCCCCGCGTGCTCCACTTCCCCACGGCAGGGCCTTTTAAATAGGAGTCCCACCCCACCAGCGGCCATTTCACCGTCTCCGTAGAGCGAGAATCTCAAAGGCTGTTTGAAAGGAGCGGTTCACAATCCATGCCCCTTGTGAGTAGCTAGTAGGTGCCGGACTCTGTACTTGGCACTTTACATCACGTCGTAACCCTCACCACACCCCTCCCTTGTATCCCTGTGTTAGGGATGAGGAACCCCAGACTCCGTGCGCCCGGGGGCACACGAGCTAGGAAGAAGAAAGAAGACTTGACTCTGACCTCAACGCCAGTGCCCTTTTCCCAGGAAGAGGCTAGCCAGGCAGGGGAGAGGAAGGAGCTAGCGGTGTCAGGAGCGGGTGGCCAAGTGGCTTCCTCCTGCTGTGGGCGCTAGTGTAGCTGCTCCCACACCCCCCAGCCCTCCCGCCATTACAGCTTGCACCGAAGGCTGCCGGGCACCGGCCGTCGACAGCTGGTCCTGCGCAGCAGGGGGTACCCCGGGCTCTAGCGGTGGCCACGGGGCCCTGTTTCCTCCTCCTGCGCTGCTGCCCCCTCTGGGGGATAAAGCTCGTGGAGCAAAGGGAGCAGAGGTGGTCTCACATGCCAGCCCCAAGGGCCCTAGTGGCTCAGGGACCAGGAGCTGGGTGTCCACAGGCAGACACCTCCCGGCCCGCCCTCCTGCTGCTTCCCGCTCCTCTCTGACATTCACAGAGCGGTTTCCTTTCTTTCTCTCTTTCTTTCTTCCTTTCTTTGTTTCTTTCTCCTTCCTTCCTTCCTTCCTTCCTTCCTTCCTTCCTTCCTTCCTTCCTTCCTTCCTTCCCTTCTTCCTTTCTTCCTTTCTTTCTTCCCTTCTTTTCTTTCTTTCTTTTTTTTTAATTGCATGCACTCTCCCTCTCTGTGTCCTCTCACTTCCACCCATTTGGACAGATGCGCTCCACTGAGGCACCCAGAGGCACAGCTATGTCACAGAATCCGACTCAGGCCCCAGGGTACCTGGCTTCAAGCCCAGAGTTCCTGAGGCACCCAGAGGCACAGCTATGTCACAGAATCCGACTCAGGCCCCAGGGTACCTGGCTTCAAGCCCAGAGTTCCTGCCTGTGGGCCGGGCTGCCTGGTGGGTGAGAGGGCAGAACCCCTCTTCACCCCCACCCTCCCCTGCAGAAGACGATCCAGCTCAGAGATGTCCAGTTCCGTGATCATCTGCTGTGGCGCTTTGGGGACCACGGGGCCAGCTTTCCTGGGGATGCCCACTGTCCATCTGCAGTGCCAAAGACTTCCGTGCCAACAGCCCTCTTCTGCCCTCCGCTCCCCCCACCGCCATGTGGGCTCTGGATGCTTCTGCAGGAGAAGGAGCATCCTCTGAGTCACAGTAGCATCTTTATTCCTTCCTTCAGTCGGTCCGTGGACCCCACCCCTGAGGAGGCCCCCAGGCGCCTCTAGCACCACCCCCTTGCCCCCTGGCCCTCTGCCCAGACCCGCAGGGAAGGGGGGCAGCTGGGAGGGGGCCACCCACATCTTTGACTTTCCCTCATTTGGAAGGAAGCCAGCCCATAGCATGTTTTTCAGAGTTTTTGACCCACTTTGGCTTAAAACAGCTTTTAGGAAGCCGTTATGCAGGATTCAACTACATTTCAAAAGACAGAATTCGGTCTCTTTTTTTCTGATTCACTTCTGCTTTTGTTGACCTTTTCAAGTGTTTCATGAGCGCCTACCCTGTGCTAGGTACTGGGCACACGGGGATGCGCGTGGCTGCAGGCCCAGCTTGAGAACTCTGGCTTTTTTGTTTGCTGATTCCACCGAAAGGTTCATCTCTGGCTCCGCTCCCTCCTCCCGGAGGCCGGCTGGGCGGGAAGGGGCCCGTTCCACCTCTCCATGGGCTGGAATGTTCCTGCAAATGAACCAATTCGCCTTTTTATCACTAGTATTCTTCTGACATGAACTGAAGGCACCGAAGCCTGTTCACCGAACTTTGCTCAGGACACATCTTTGGCCTGAGGACCCCTCTCGGGCCAGCTCTGTGTGCCACAGGAGTAGGCACTTCCTCAGGCGACTAGAAGCAGGGGGTCCTGATGGCCAGGGGCTTTCCCTAGCTGTCCTGGCTCGGGGACTTCGGCTTACAGCATCCAGCCCTGCGGCCACTCTATTGTGAGCGGCTGGTGGAGCACATGCAAAACTCCCTTGAGGTGATGCTCACAGAAAAATGCCCAAGACCACAGTCAAAACTCCCACGCCACGCTCAGGGCAGGTCATTGGTGCTTAAACTCCCTCCTTTAACTTAACCCTCACGACAACCCTGTGAGGTACGTAGTGTCAGTCCCGAGCTGTGGAAAGAAAGTTGAGGTTCACAGGGTGAAGCCCTGTCCCCAGTTTCACTCAAGTCATGATCAAGTTGAGACTCAAGGCCAAGGGTGCTTTCTCCCCAGTGCCCAGGACTTTTCCCCTGCCAGTGGCAATCACATGTGCATGAAGCAGGTGACCCTCCCTCATAAGTTCGGTTTCTCCTCCCCTGACCTCGTGATCACTCGTGGCCATAGGTCACGGGCCAGACGCCAGCGCAAAAGGCAGGCCAAGCTGGGCATTTTTCCCTTTGCTCACCCCTGCCTAGTCCCTCATGACAACTGTTTAGCTTACATCCTATGACAGACCCACAGCTGACAGTGCCAGCCAAACTCGGGAAAATCAGAGTTTTAGGGTCACCGCTTGGCAACATAGGCCTTTGCAAAACGTTCTGCTCAAAATCTCTGCCGTTGGGTGGATTCATGTCATTGTCCCAGGCCAAGCCGGGGGAGCTGGGCTCCGGCCCAAACCACTTTTAATGCCCTGCCGCCCTGAAGAATTACTAGAGCCCACACGGGCTCCCAACAGCCATTGTAAGCCTCCGCCACAAGGCCTTCCGTGTAACCAGCTTCTCGGGCAAAGTTCTTGGCCTTAGACGTTCCTGAGCCCACCGAGGATCTCACTGCCAGGTGGGATGTCGGGAAACAGACTTGCCATGTGAAAGGGCAGGCGCCCTATCTCCCCAAGTTCTGGATGCTCCTCAGGCTGAGGGGTGGCCCGTTCAGTATTTTTACAGCCTGTATCAAGTACAGACCACTGAGTGGGATAAAGAAGTCACTCCTGCCTTAAAGTCGCTGCAACATCAGGAATAGAAACATTCGGGGCTTGGCTTCCGTCCTTTCATTGTGCCCACGTCTCTAAGCGTTGGGCCAGGCCGCTCCCTCGGAGGTGTCGCCCTTCTCTGTGGATGGTGTCAGTGGGGACAGAACAGCCCGAGCCAGGCACGGCAGTCTTTTCCTCCCCCTTGGTTGTCCAGGCCCGCCCTTTGGCGCTTTTGCTGCACACCAGCCATACCACACCGTAGACCAAAGATGACCTAATGTCAACCTCTGTGGCCTGGAGGGGTGGGAAATCGGCCCCCACTGAGGTGTGAGGGTGTCGGGTGCCCTCTGTGAGCCTGGAGGAGTTGCTCCTACCCTGGCTGAGGGTCTGATCTTTAGATGGACCACAGCCAGTCCCCGCGCTGCAGAGCTAAAACCCAGAAGGCTCCACGGCCTTCACCTGCTCATGGACCACCTGCTGAGGACCCTTTCCCACAGGCTTGAACGTCCAGCTCCGCGGGGTAATGTCTGGCTTCTGGTGCTACCCTGCCGAGTTACCCGCACGCCCGTCCCGCGTCAGCATTCCCTCTTCCTTCCTGTCTGCTCCAAAGTAGGCCCCTCCGTGCCAGTCAGGACAAGGGACTCAACTGCTGTTGTCCTTGAAGAGGCCAAACCGAGTGCTAGAGCCAGTGACCCCCATTTCCAGGTCTTCTATAAACATGCAAAAGGGTGGGCCCCCACCAGGCTTGATACAGCAATAAGCAATTCTAACGCAGCTAAGGTGTCCGTGTTTGATCCCGGTGTGTGCCTGTCTATGCCTTTGTGCCCATGTGGCTGTTAATAGTGCCCCTTTCACTCTCCCAGGGGAGACGAGAAACTCTGGGCACCTTAGCTACCCCCACGTGTCCCGCTTCAGAGCGCCACCAAGCACCTAGGCCATTTCTTCCGTCCCTCCGGGAACAGTGGAGCCCTGGCCATTGTGCCCCACCCGGCTCCCATCTGCTCCTGGCGTGACGCTGGCCATCCCCTGGATATCACAGCACTCCTCGTCCCCTCTTGGCAAACTGGCAAATTCTGGTGGTGGTTTTTGTTTCCTTTTAACACACACACACACACAAATACATGAGGATATATAATGTGAGGGGGGGAGGGGGGGTGGTGAACAATTAGCCATAGCATGTATAGAGTATACCATTAGACTTTTTTTTTCTTTTTCTTTTTTTTAATAAAGAAGTGCTTGACTGGTTTCAAGCCTCATTGTGAAGATGCAGCATCTATGGATTTTATTTGGCTAAGGAATTTGGGCTTGCGTTTGGGGAAGCTGTTTGGCCAAGAGGGGGTGACTTCTCTGTCAGGGTCCTAGTGCATCTTGGTTCTTTGAATTAACAATGTCCAGAAATTAAGGAGGGAACATCTTTGTATTCCCTGGGCGTCTCCCACATATTCTCAGCTCTGTGCCTAAGGATGGAAAATTCAACACATCCGAGGTGTCTCGCACTTCTCACTGGTGTCGCCTACCCATGGGCAACAGTGTAGGGTGGAGCGTGGGGGTGTAGCCACGCCATCTGCTCTGGGGAGGGGGAGGGCATTGTCTGACGTGTTAATACCTTCCCAAGGGCACAGGCAAGGCCAAACCAACCCCCAGCCTCCGTGGCCCTCAGGTGAATCATTAGACAAAATGACACCACCACCCGCCTTCCTAGGGAGGGAAGAGCAGAACCGACAGACTCCCTGAGCAGAAAACATCAAAAGGGGAAATTTACATTCAGTATTCATCCTCCCTTGGATGAAAGGTTTCAAAGAATGCAATTACCTTCTGGACCTTGCTTAAGGATAAGGGTCATTTGTATATTAGTCTCTGTCCCCCCACCCACCCCCCCTTAAAAAAAAAAACATTACCTGCTTCAGCACCCTCCCCACTCCGCACCTTGGGAGCATTTTCTCCCAAATCTTCCAAACTAATTGTGGTTGTTCGTAAGAATACAACTGGCAATGGCATGGGATTCCTGGAGCAGGCATGCAGGGACACCGGACCCTGATGGGATGGGGATTGGACCATGGTCACAAACCACACCTGGCTGCCTCTCTCCGGGGTTGCTCACTGCATTGCCTTCAGGTATCAGTCAGAACTGACACATCTTCCATTCCCTTTATACGGTTTAAGAAATACCAAGCCAAACACGCGCCAGCTCACACACACACCTGCACACACGTTCCTTCCTTCCTCTAAGGGGTCATGGGATATCTGTGTGTCTAAGACGCAGGTCGTGGGGCCACTCTCCTCCGAATCCAAGGTGTTTAATGGCCACCACTTCTCTAGTTAGTATCCATGGAGTCCAGATGTGATTCCTCACCATCTTGCAACCCTTGCCTCCCAATCACCCCCTAGGCTGCATCCCTTGAAAGTCAGAATCAGTAGGAATCTGCGTCCTTTAAAAGCACAATTGTGAGGAAATGGCCGGCATGCTCCACTTTTGAGAAGTGGCTGGACTCTGCACATTGCCCAGCATAGGCTAAGTGTCCAAATGGTGCTTCATATACCATTATTAGCAATGTCACCATTATTTTTCTGAGCATTTACTATGTTCCAGGCCTGTGGGATATGCTACGTACACTTTTATTTCATCCTCGAAATGCCCTATAAGGCAGATGCTCCATTTTATATGGAAGGCACAAGACCAAAGTGTCACATAGC